GGGGGTCCGCCCCCCCCGCCACACCCTGCACCCCCGCTCAGGCCTAACTATGCTGAGAGCAGACGACTTAGCAGCTTGAGTTTGTGACATTGTATGGACTTGTTGTTTTTAAAAAGTATTTAAAACAATTGTGCAGACGGCTCCCGAGGGACACAGGCCAGCCCGCGGGGTTCCGGGTCCTCCCCCCAGCCTCCCCGCGGCTGCCCTCAGACGGAGCCCTGATTTGGCCTGTCAGGTTGTACTTGTGTGAAGTTCTAGCCTCTTCACTGTTCTGAAGTTTTCCTGGTTCTCAAACAGAAGTAAACACGAATTTCAGGCCACCAGAAAGGAAAAGAGCCAGTATGGCTGGAAGTATCCATCCTGGGAGTTGGAGACTGGACACTGTTGGTACTCTAGGGACAGCCTGCAGGCCTGCTCCGGGTTTCAGCCGCCAGCCCGTTTTAGAGGGATTATTGAAACATTTTTAAAAAGTGTGTATTCCTCCACGGAGCACTTTCCCTGTCTGTGGTTTTGTAGTGGATGAGACCATGAGAGGTCCCACGCCCCTCTGGGGCCCTCGAGGAGGTAGTGAGCGGCGCCCAGCACCCCCAGACAGGCTTCAGGCTGCCCTCGGCCCTTCCCGGTCCCGCGAGTGGAGTAGGACCCTGGAACAGTGCCTGCTCTTGGGCTGTGCTGGTGAACCTGTGCTCAGAGGCGGCCCCCGGGCACGGCTGAGGTATTCCCAGGTACCCGACCCATTGATCATGCACCCCCTGCCTCCCCAGGAAGCGTTTCTCAAACCTAAGCCCGGGTTCTCCCCGACCCAGGTGAACTGAGGTCTCTAGTCCTTTCCCACTGAGGGCTTTTGCTCCAATATTCTGTCGGGTGCAGGTTTTGCAGGGGGCACCAGCTTGACTCGCACCCTGTCCCTCTCATGCACTCCGTGGAAAGGTGTTTGATCTTTAGGTTTCATCCTTGCGCCGATCTGGGCTCTCAGAGTTCCAACATGCTGCTTTGGTGGCTTTCTGGACGTCTGTGAGGCCACACCCTGGTCTGACTTGAGAAGAGTCTCTGAGACGAAAAGGCCTTATGTAACCACGGGTACCTCGAACTTCTTGTTTTTCTGACTCCAGGATAGTGTGAATATTTGGGATATATATTTTTTGAAACTATTTTTCAACAGTTTGTAAGTCGTAACTAACTTGTAATTCGATGGAGACCGATACTGTCGTAGCTCATAAACTCTGGATTTAAGCAGAGTGTGCTTCCGTTATTCTGTGACCCGTCTGCTGTCTGTCGACAAAGATGTCTTTGAATATGACTGTGGTTGCTAACACACACACACCCCTGTGGTAAGTGTTTTGTGAATATGCGTGTGATGGGGGAAGGGCCACTGTCCCTGACCCGAGATGGCAGGGAATGGAGGTGCCGGATGGAAGTGGGGAGAATGCCGTCTTGTTCTCCAGGACTTAAACATGACTGCGGCAGATGAGGGCGCGACGGAACTGAAGACGGTGACAGGCTCCAGGCTCGTCCCATCATTTGGTGCATCACAAGGAACAGCAGAAGCCCCCTCCCCAGGGGGTGTTAATCAGCGATGGGGTGGAGAGGGAGGGAGAGGGAGAAAGCCCCCACCAGGCGCATGGTCTCACCGCAATCCCTTCTCTATTGCTCCGTTCTGTCGGGATTTGGGGCACAAGCTGGCATGCTTTTCAAGCCACCGGGTCCTGGACTTGAACCACACAGTTGGCCACAGAGGATCCAGGTCTCTCCAGGTCCCTTAACCACTAGGCCTTGGGGCAGGCTGAGAGAGAGGGGAGGAGAGGGAGAGGGAGAGAGGAAGGGAGAGGGAGAGAGAACATTCTAAGCTCCTTTGTTGGAGGAGGGGGAGGCACTTTTTGGAGACCTCGGTCTTGCTGCTTGAGGTGGCCCCAGCTCCCAGGGAGCCCCGTGGTGGTTCCAGGCAGAGCAGCCATGGGTGCTAAGAAGAGTCCTTATTCCAGCTGAGCCCTCAGATCCCAGGAGAGCTGTGGGAGTTCCAAAGGGCCCCGCTGTGGCCGATGGCGGCGGGGATGTTGGTGTATCACATGATCACAGCAAGAAGGAAGCCCCTGGTACAGGTCTCCTCCCTGTTCCTCCTGACCCCGGGAAGTTGGGGGCCTCTCCACAGGCACCAGGGAGCACAAGGAGAGAAGCGAGACACAGGTGGTGGTCAGGACAGCCTATGACCCTCCACAGAACCCCGGGGCCCCTGTAAGGAACGACGCCAACATGCCACGATACAGTTGTACTTCGAAATTTGAGAAAATGCCTTGACCTCAGGCAAATCTGTAAAGCCAGTACCACACTGACCAGACTTCCTGGTGTGATCATTTATGGATTAATTTCCCTCTCATTTCTGAGTGCATTACCCATGTTTGGGCTGATACAAGTGTGACCATGGGAACGCTACACTGTGGTGGAGAACGAGAGGCCTGCACTGCACTGCAACCGGCACTCAGAAACAACGCTCTGGACTGAGCACGTAGTGGGACTCGGGCTGGGCACCGCTGGGAGCAGCACTCGCTGAGAAATGTCAGCCTCCTGCAGCTCTTGGCACCGAGGGAGCCACATAGGGGCGTGGCACTTCCTTCCCCAGGGCGACTACACCTGCCTCTCTCCAAGACAGCACTGTCTACCGACAACCCTGGAAGGGCCTGCCTGGCGTTGCCTCTGTAGCACAAGAAAACAATTTGTTTTCTTTAAGTAGGGCACACGTGCTCGCCAGACAGAGACAGAGGGGAAGTGAGAAATCACCCGAGGGGGATGGCCATGTTAAGGGATGGGAGAGTGTCGCTTCGTTGTGAAATCCTTGGTTCTTTGAGTCCAGATCACTAAAATTAGAGATCTGTCCCTAGGCGCAAAATGAAACCACAACCACGAAAGAAGTAGATAGAAAAGAAGGTTTAATGGAAAGAAAGGAAAGGAAAGAAAGAAAGTACACCCAAAAGGTTCTTGGGCGGGCAGACTGCCAGGTGGCAACCACGCTTGGTACTAGGTAACCGTTATTTTATTACTAGAGGTCATGAATATTCATTAGTGGGAGGCCCCTTATGCTGCCTATGTCCTTCCTTTAAATTTGAATCCACACGTTTTTTTCCTGCACCTGCGCACCTTCCTCACAGGTAAAGAAGGAACTTGACCACCTAATTGCGCACGCCCAATGTGAGCCAGGTTGCCCCAATTAGACTGCCCAATTAGTCCATTGCCCTAATAGGAATTGAGGGATTGACCAAAAACACTTGCTTGGGTCTTTTTGATAAGAGAAAAATCTAGGAATCGTCCCTGTGCACTTCCCTCAGGCCCCAAGGAAGGAAGATGGCAAATTGCCTCACCCTCCTGGCGCCCGGAGCTAGATGAGCCTTTAGCTTTTCTCTTAGGGCTGTCCGCTCATGGCTAACTACCTACCTACCACAGGCACCCTGCAATCCCGTCTCCATTCTCCTCTCAGAATCTTGGGCATGCACACGCACGTGCCCAGCGTGTTTACCAAGCTGCTGGGTCCAGGACTCACACAGCTGGATCAGCCACGTGGGACCCAGCAGCCCTAACCTCTGCACCACCTGGCTCTAGAAACACAGTTAAGAAAATTGTTTCCTTTGTGCCTTGAAAATATTCGTTTTTTTTTTTTTTATACAAATAATGCATCGTGGGCCAGCAAGTGGCTTAGTGCTTAAAGCGCTGGATTCCCATGTGGTCGAACACAATTTGAGTCTCAGACCTGGTGACTTAAAAATCACACCAGGCACATATGCATGTGTGCCCACCCAGAATCTGAGGAGAATGGAGGAGAAGGGATTGTGACGTGGCCATCCCCCTGAGGGGTGATTCGCTTTCCCCCTCACTGACTCTCTCTGCCTTTCTCCAATGAGCGCATGCACCTTATGGCAAAATGTTAAAAAAAAAAAAAAAAAAAAAAAAAAAAAAAAAAAAAACCCCATTTACCACGCCACACCAAA